GTGTTCTGACGGCGAAACATCCCTGTTTTAAAATAGCTGCGTCTATATTTCCAGCTCCGGGCCGTGGCATGCGTGTGACGGATGCTGTGTGGGCACGGCTGGATCGGGAAGCGGGCTGTCTGTCGCCTGGCGCTCCGAGTGCTGGAGCCATTAGCGGCAGTTGCATCGATCTGTGCATACAGATATGCCCGGCTAGGCCGCGGGTGCTCGCACCACGGCGGTAACAGGGAGCGTATCAGCTGCGTATGGAACGGATTTAAAAATACGTTGTTATACGTACTTTTAACTTTACGAGAAGGGAAAGGGAAATTATCTTGTTCCCGAGTCTACAGATGATCTTTGGATGTATCCTTGTGCGTCTGTTGTCACTCTAGGGCAAAAGCAATGGAAGGACAAAGATCGGTACGAGGTTTCCAAAACCTCTGGTGTGAGCCAGAGCAGTTGGGAACAACTGCTAGTGTGAGTGGGGATGCATTTGCAAATAATAATAATAATATATTGTCATGGGGGTCGAGGGAAATGGACACAAAAGAATGACCCCAGAGTATAGCACAGCCTTTTGAGAACCTTCTCCTGTATTTATAATTAAGCTGAAAAGGAGTATAGAAGATGAGTTATAAGATAGGTTGTAATGGCTTTCTTAGACTGTATGTGCAGAACCAGTTGAATTTCAGCTTAAATGTTCTGAATTAGTAAGCTATATTGCAGGAAGGTTGAAAGCCCTAAAATAAAACATACTCTATTTAATTTTTATTTATGATACTATTTATTTAAGTATCATATTAGCCTTAGAGCATGTGACTAGTTTCCCTGTTGTGGTTTGGGAAAAAATGAGTACATTTTTTTTATATTCTGTATAGTTAATGCCATGCCTCTGTTGAACATATGCTATGCTTGTAGGTACGTTACTTCCTTTCAGCTGTTGTATCTGAGAAAACAATAGATTAGAGCTTTTTTAACTGCTCTTGTTTGATTTTGAAAATGTTTTTTGAGGTTTTAATGATGCGAACTCGTGGTACAAAGATATCAATGATTTCTATTCTGTATTAAATTGCCCAGAATACTTTATTGATGATTATTCATTTGCTTTACAGTATGAAGTACGTTTAAAAAAGTAGTAAAACTTTCTTAACTCGTTAAACCAGAAGTATGCTTATTTACATTTGGCCTGTCAAAGAAATTATATATAGGAAAGTTTGACTGCAGTAGTATATGTCATCTTCAGTCAAAAGTTGTTTTGAAAATAGTGCATCAGAATATCATAGTTTAAAAAATGTGAAGATGGAACCAATTATCTCTGACAAATACTTTGTTCTTCTCTGATATATTTCTGGTGTACCATTATGCACTTAAAGTTCAGCATCTTTTTAAACTTCCTATTTGGAAGGGATGGGGCTAGCTAGAATGAGAAGAAATTGAGCAACTGGAATATTGTGATGTTGCTTGGGTTTAGTGTAGTCACTGTACTGCTGTCACATACTGCAGGCTCTGATTTCTCTAACATCACAAATTCCAGAGAGGGTTCTTCAGTGTGGCTGATTATATCAAGAAGATTTTTGAGTATGACAGAAGAGAGATATGAGTGGAGTTTTCCCTGTTCAAAACTGGCTTCTAAATGATCAGTTTCTACCAGTAGTAGTTATACATGTACAAAAGGTTAAGCATTTGCTTAGTGTATGAAGTTGCACTCTATGGTATATTAATATACTCCTGTGTTTTCTGTGTTAGTTAAGGCTTGTTTATGTAGTGGGAATGAATTGATACTTTACAAAGGAGATGGACAGTTTCTGCATATTCCTATGTGTTGCCTTGTCTCTTTCCTTTTCTCTGGGAAAGCACTACACAAAGCCTTTGTGTTTGGCTAGAGGGGAGGAGAAACAGCTGCCTTTTCAGTGCAAGACACCAGGATTCGTCATGGTCTCACAGGGATGCGTTGTTGTGTGTGGACCAGCCACTGTCCTTCCTCCCTTGTTCCTCCCTTCCTCCCTCTCTGTTAAAAACTCTCTCCTCATGACACAGAAACCTGAGCTTCCATTGATTGATCTCACAGAGCAGCATGTTGTGCCATGGACTTAGCAGATCAGTCTGATGGGCCAACTGTTAAAGTATAGGTGGGCAGGAATTAAAATGCAAAATTGATTAAGTGCAAGGTGTACATTAAGGAGTCCAAGATCTACAGATCATGTTGTGTTTAAAAATTGCTTGTTATCGACTTGACTTCTTGTCTATGATTGGGATGAAAGAAACTTGTTTGAATGGTTAATATTTTACTTAGTTTTCTTTTGTTTAGCAGTTTAGTATCTAGGATACTTAAGTGGGAATTAAACATATTAATTTCTAGAAGAGGAAATACAAACTTTCAGTTGGATGACAGAGTACAACTAAATGAGGCAGTTTCATTTTTCTGCTTTCCATGCACTAATAGGGTGCTTTAATTGTTGTACTGTATTCTGTGTCACCCAGTGGTAGAATGAAATTTAACTTCCCTGTATTTCTTGGAAACATTGATTACTATATAATGAGGCTTTAGTAACTATATATGTTCTTTCAAAATAACTTATTTGAAAATATCATCCAATTTTTTACTTATCCTTTACGACTTTATTGTATTTATTAAAATTTTAGAGTCAGAGTATTCCCCTTCGGTGCTACATGCTAAGTAGTGTGATTTTGAGGGAATTTAGTAACTCTGATTTTTTCTAAGCTGCTTATGAAATTGAGGTGGCATTCTTAGGAGTTTAAATTTATAGTCCATCTTTCTCTGTATTAGCTTATAGACCGCTAATTTTGAAACCCACATAGTGGAAAATTCAAACAATAAAATCTGACCTTTTGACACTTCACCTCTTGATCTGATTGAGAATCTTTTTCCATTTTTGACATGTTGTGCAAATCATATCTTTTGATAATTTATTTTTCAAACTTATTTGTCAGTTAATGGAGACAAATTTTGAAAACCTTGAGGAATTTTTTGAGGGAGAAGGGAAAGATTTAATTTGAGAGGAGTGAGGAAAGGAAGGCAAACTGGGAAAATGAAGGAGTCTAGTGTTTTTAACAAAACTGGTTAAAAATTTTAAAATGTGTTCATTGTTGTGTTCAGGCATGTTTTTCTGTGGTTCTTGTACTGCATGGTTGATAAAAAGCATCACTCAAAGGGTATTTCATGCTGTTACTTTGTCTCTGAAGAGATTAATCAGTTATTGAGAATTAGATTATTTGCACTGATGGGGAACTCTCCTGTAATTATTCATTTTGAAGAAACGTGTTTATGTTGCTTAGCCTTGCATTTCAGTGCAGGAGAAGCATCTGAGTAGTTGGAAGAGTTGAAGGCCTCCTTTATGGATGGGTTTTCATGGATGAAGTTTATCAGCTTACTGATGGTATTGATGAGCAGAGTATTTTTTTCTTTCCAATACAGAGCTGTCTGATATATAAAGGAGGGGTAAAATAGGCTGAACTTGCTTTGAGAGCTTGTAAAAGATGTGGTCTCTAATATGAAGTCATCTTTTTGTATCTGGGTGTTGCAAAGGAATTTGTTACTTGTTGCAGGGACAGGTTACTATGTGGAGCTCACAAGGGGAAAAGGGGAAACGGTCAGGGTTGGTGTAGTCCTGGTCTGTTTAAATGGGAATAATTTTATTACTTCTTTTGATACACTTCAAGTTACCCAAAAATTGTACTGTTGGACTCATCCACAGTTAGGAAAGTTCTTCCTTCTTGATTCTGAGAGGGGGTTTGTTCTGCTCTCTG